ACCTCAAGCAGGGTTTGAAGTAGGAAATCCTTCATTAGAGCAGCTTATTTTCAACTTGATTTTTTAGCAGGATTGCGAAAATCTCCTTCTAGCTCTGTTCATTGCATCGACAAAGATTTTGAAGTCACTATTCTAGAACAGTTTTTTTCGGCTCTCTATAATACTGACTTCTTATTCCACCACCTTATATAAGGCCTCTGTATGTTACAACGATTCCCAATCGACAGAGACGAATTATATCCAGATCAAGCGTAGGAGTTATCTACTTCCTTACCAGTTATTTCATATTTCAAGTACAGTATGAGTTCATGAATTTTATAAATAAACTTTTTTTCACTGTGGACTAATGGTTAGAAAGGGAGTTGTCGATGTTTTTGCTACAGTACCAGACTTCTTTTCACTCGAATCGTGGCAAAGGAGTTCATCTTATGTACTGGTTTTATCGACTCACTTCACGAAATGCCTCGGGAAGAATGCGAAGAATACCATTTGAGAAGTTCCCGGTATAGAACGCTGTAGGATGAATCAGCCATGCGACGAGGTCTTCTCCAGGATTGCGAGCTTCTTTTTGTGCTTCCATTCCCAATTGGACTACTGGAAAAACTTCTTCATAATCCAAGCAACAATTCACTTGCTTGGTTTGATTTTCATGTCTTGTACACACCCGCTGGAGGTTTTTCTGGTATCCATTCCAGTGCACTATTACCTATTTTTAGTGAATGCTCTCAATATTTGTCTTGTTCTCCTTAACTCGACATTTTTATCCCGAAGTCCAGCTGAGATTAAACCGTTGCCATGAATCAATGCAATCCCGACAACAATGCAACCACCAGCTGACAAGTGGTGAAGATATAGAAAAGCCCTAGTACGGGTACAAAGATTGTGTGGAAAGTAAGGTTTGCTCAGCTTGAAAATTAACAGTAGAAGGGAAACTGTGTTAGGGTTCGCCCCGCACTCCGTGATTCATGAAGGCGGGACACTCAAGTATTAATTATGAAGTTTGCTCGTGTTATTTTCTTGTTCTGTGAACAACTAGGTATCAAAATATGTGTTACATATACACAATCGATCCGCCGATGCATAAAGAAATAATGGGTTAATAGACTAATGTAGACTTCTGCACCGATTCTTTTTCGTTTTCCGTCTGCTCTGAGCTGCGAGCTGGCCAGTAGTATTGCTTGCTCGAGTCAACTGATGAGCAACTAAATGTATTACACAACTTTTTACAGAAAAGCGTTTTAGGAAATAAATGAGCTCAGAATGGTAGATGAGTTAACTCGCAGAAGTTGCATTTGCTATGCCGTCAAGATCAAGAACATCGTGTCTTTTTATGAATTAATATCTAGAACGATAGAAAGTTCCGTAAGGTGAACAAAGAGTGCACTCCTCGTTCTTTAGACGTGTTTCCTTCATCATATTTTAAGAGACCGAGCAAATTTTTTGCCGACAGCCATCTTTTGGTCTTCTTCTGTCAGACAGGAATAATTTCGTTAACATACAACGGGCGATTAGAACATAGAGTGTCGTTTGCAGTTCGGTGGGCTTGAACAGTTTTTGCTATACTATTTATATTACTTCAGCAGCCAATTTAAAGGAGCCCATTTTAGGGTGGGGCGAAAAAAAGTTTTTCTCTTGGCTTATTGATCTCTAAAAAGTTTTCACGCGGAAACGTTCACTGACCATTAACTTGACTAGTAATCGACCGTTGCTGTTCCATTTCATTCGTTTTTATGACTCATGGCTATTATGTGTAATGCGGGAGTGTAAAAAAAAATTACCCAGATTAACTCGAGACAGACTATAAAGCTTTTTTAAATGCTGACAGAAACATATTTATCTGATAGAACACAGTAAAAGGATAAAGGATAGTGTTCTCGGCGTTGATCAATCCTTGAGGGATGCGTTATGCAATCCACTTCATTAAGCAACGTTGAAGGTGAATGAGTGCATATTTGATTTTTATTATGAATCGCGGTGGTCTACCGACTTATCGAGCCAGTGCTGCTATCCTCCTAGACAAGTCTGGTACCAATTTGTCGACCGCTACAAGATGGAAGGCTTGGAGAGACGGGTGTGGAGATCGATCCCATATATATTGCAGAGCGCCCCCGACCACTGGGCTACGCGCCTCATTTTTAGATCAAAGTAACACATAGAAAATAGTAGCATGCATACCACTCACAGCCATATAACAATACAGCAAAGCGTCTTTTACGATCTATCATGTTCACAACCCCTCAAATTCTGTAGTTTCCGAAGAATTACTGTTCATTTTCAAAATCAAAAAAAGTCCACAAAGGTTTGAAAAATAGGAGTCGTACGAAGTGGCGGAGTCGCTAAACGCCTCGGGTCTGTTATGCTTTGAGAAAGTTGCAGATCAGCCTGCATTTAAGAATTCCTAAACGTATTTTCACCAGCATCGTAGATTCTTCTCTATCTTCGCTCCCTAATACTAATTGCGCGGCATTTCGTTGTCGGACACTTGGGACAGCTCCAAATTTTTTGTCGCTGACGATATGAATTGAAATCACAATATTTAACGTTTTGCTTTCTGCCTTCTATAATTTTCATGGCAGGTTACTAAGCGAAATACAACCACAACGTTGCTGAGATATTTGCAAAACTCTGGACCGCAGGTGTCTATGGTGGGGGANGCTGACGATATGAATTGAAATCACAATATTTAACGTTTTGCTTTCTGCCTTCTATAATTTTCATGGCAGGTTACTAAGCGAAATACAACCACAACGTTGCTGAGATATTTGCAAAACTCTGGACCGCAGGTGTCTATGGTGGGGAACGAACGCGCTATTATCCTTTCCGGGGAGTAACGCGTTCACCACCACACCATACGGGTCATTCGTTTCGCCAGTCTCTCAGCTATTTCTATCGATCTTTTTGCCACAGTAATCACCCGTCAGCGGGGTTGATCTGGGGAGCGCAAATCGGCATAGAACCCAGTTAAGCTATGGCTGTAATTGAAATCACAGTGTTTAACGTTTTGTTTTCTGCCTTCTATAAAGGATAATAGCGCGTTCGTTCCCCACCATAGACACCTGCGGTCCAGAGTTTTGCAAATATCTCAGCAACGTTGTGGTGATATGAATTGAATTGAACACATACCATTAACTTTACCTTGCCCTTTCGGTCAGTAAGTTGGCTTATTATGGAGATTTTTATGGCTAAAATCCATGAACTCTAACTTCTGTCCACTCTATTCTTCTGGGCTTTTTTCACATTCTTGAAATAATTTAACCGGCATATCCTTGAAGCGACTGTGTGGTGAAAAACTGGTTCAGCACCCAGCCGTAGTGCTGTAGAGCATTAGTATTTTAGTAGTTAGTTAGCTTTCTTTCCAACATATACAGAATGTAGCCACATTGAAGCTGAGATATTGGGAAAACTCAAAACGCCAGGTGAGATTTGAATCCCTGACGGGAAAACTTACGGCAAAAAAAACTAGCTGAAGGAAGTGCAAAGTGAAATCCTGGGTGATGCAGTGGATAACAAGTGAGCCGACTGAAATGGTAAATGTGGATTAGAATTTGGTCTGACTGTGACTTTTGCAAATATCTCAAAATCATTGTGGTTGTATTTCACATGTTATCGTGGCATGAAAAAATTAGGCGGTAAATGAAAAGTTAAACGGAGGTTATAGTTCATGCGGATAAAGCATATACAGAGGACCAGTTCCTAGTACAAATTAAACAGTTACTCCCATAACCGAGTTTCTTTTAACCTCGGCATTGATTGATAATTCGATGTTTTTCTTCAATACGCAGACACGAGGTTGGTTTTATAGGATTTATTAGGATACAATAGCTGACGTTTCGGCGGTTTCGTCTTCTTCAGAGCCGTTTATTTGTTCTGAGTATTTAAGTTAGTTGATGGATGGATAGCAGCCGCACAGAGTAATACATGGGCGCTAACTCCCATCCATCAACTAACTTAAATACTTAAAACAAATAAACGGCTCTGAAGAAGGCGAAACCGCCGAAACGTCAGCTATTGTATCCTAATAAATTCTATAATCACAACCTCATGTCTGCTTATTGAAGAAAAATATCGAATTAAAAAGATACTGCAGAGATGGAGAGGCCTATCCTATTCTGAAGCTAGTATGCCGTCATTTTTGGATCAGCCAAATATCTGCCATCTTTGCTGGTGCCATAAAATTGAGAATCAACAATATTTCCAAAGAACGCTGTTCAAAACTACACCGATGAAAGTGCACTCCGTGTGTTTGTGTCAAAGCATCTCAATGCTCTCCTCTTTGTCAGCGGTCTCGGTGATGGACCACTTTGTACCCTCCTCAATAGCAACAGTCTCATCGCCGGCAAACAAACTCATGCGAAGAGCAGTTCCATGTAATATTTTTCTCTATAAAAATTGGATATTCCTGAGTGCGTCTAATACGAGATCTCTGATAACGAAGCTGCCGACGGAGTGCAAAAAATGACACGAAAAACTGTGGCATACGTGTACTCTGTAAATTAAGGCAGTGGAAAGAATATGAATGAAGATCATTCCCTGACCTGGATGGTGTAGTGGTGAAGTGCGCTGCTCCCCGGTAAGGACAACTGCATACACCTGTGGTCCGGAGTTTTGCAAATATCTTAGCATTTCATACGAGTTATAATTCGAAACATACCCTGCCATTGAGAAGAAAAAAAAGGCAGTAAATAAAAGAGTTAAGAAGATCATTCCATTTGGATCAATTTCCCCTTCTCAAAAGTACGAGTTTAATAATTCATATATAGCTGCGTGTATTTCAAGGAGCACCATAATTTTTGGCAGCGAGCAAACGTACTTCTGGAATGATTAAAAGACATCTCTGTTTTCACTTTAAGTTTTTCTCTCTAAATCAAGTGGTAACTGATGCTCCATTGCTATTCTAAAGGACATTTGAGCCAATGTTTTGTTTAAAGCTATCCATTGCCAATTTTTGTCTGGAAATGCACTTGTGGTCGTGAGATAGAGTGAAAAGGTGGCAGCGTGGGTTATCGTCTCAGGTTACCTTCTCGAATTGGTGATTACATTCACATTTATTCTAGACGGTGTCTGCAAACTGCATTGATTCAAGTCATCTATGCCGACCGTTTCATCGTTACTTAAGAATGTTCGGGTATGTTAGACATTTTTCACATAAAAAACTAGTATTTCGTGGAAAAATTGTGTTGCCCCGTTAATCACATAAGTGGGTAACAACTCTATCAATTTCACCTGAAGAAGCAATTGCTATTAAACTTATTTAAGTGAAAGTTGAATTTGTAAATAATATCCTTCTAATTTTAGCTGTTTATTTAATGCCTATTACAGTTTTTCACGGCAGAGTACTATGTGTGGTACAGCCACAGTGATGCAAAGATATTTACAAAACTCCGGACCGTAGTTGTCTTCAATGGGCAACGAACGCGCTATCACCCTTTCCGGTGGGTAACGCATTCACCACCACGCCGTGCGGGTCCCTCGTTTAGCCTGTCTTTCAGCTAGTTTCTATCGTTCTTTTAATTGCTACTATTAACAGATCTGTCTATTTAACAACTCTGTTAACAGACAACTCTTTCTTATAGCACACTAATGTGGCAAGGATTCGAAACAGAGCAATCGTTGAAAAAGAAACAATGCACTCTCTGATTTTTCTGAAATCAATTTGTTTCACCAAACTATGAGTGTTGTAGAGTAAAAATGGACATTCTTATTGAGTCGAAATTTTGCTATTTTGTTGGATGAGTACATTGATCAATTTTTAGATCACACAAAAAGCTTTTCAAGGTTCATGAATTATTTTCTGTGGCTACGAATAGAGAACAGCAACTGATCTTGTTGTGATGATATACTTCACTCTGATATGTCTTCGATCTACAGGTTCATATTCACTTTTCGGAACCACAACAACAATGTCAATGTCATGTTAATGGTCCACCACCATGGACCGGGGAAATTCACGGTCTCAGTCAGGTAAGTAAAATTGTGGAGAAAATACAGGAATCAAAACTGGTTGGATTACTAGAATCTAAACCATCTGCATGAGAATCATTGAGTGGTGAAAAATTCGCCGAAGCATTAAAATCTTTTCCATATTTTACTATCCATACGATTTACATCAGTTTGCTTTCAAACGGTATACTGAGAAACTAAGCATAGTAATGTCCTATGGTGTGAAATTTTACTATATTATGTCTTCCTTTCACTTCTAGAGGGACGTAATATTTTTTACGTCGTGGCTATCGATTTTTGCTCAGTAGCAATCAAATTTCATTGAATATTTAAGCAGTACCTATTATACTTGAGAAACCACGGCATACATACGCATTGGAAGGTTCCATCAGGAAGCCCAGCTAAGAGTTAGCCAGTACCAGGATCTACCACCGTCCTGGTATCAAACAAGTCGCATGGTGGCAATGTCTCTTTGATCCACAAGGGCTGCGATTGTATGTGGTGGTGATGTTCTTGGGCAAACTTTGGCCAGGCTGTTCTCGGTACTCCAGGGAACTACAGTGGCTTAACTAGCAAATCTCTGGAGAATAAAAATTGTGCTCGGGTTCGCACAACCAGTTAAGACGGACCATCTAAGTATCCCACGTAAGTAAGTAAGTAAATTACTGTATACTCATTAACATCAGTTATTTCAACACTTATCTGAACTTCTGGCTGGTTCATTCTCACAAACCGTATATTGAAGCGCCTCGGAAAAACATCATTCTAGCTGGTCTTTTACTCATTGAGCACGTTCTTCCTTCAGTTGAGTTCAGAGATCGTTCTCTGTTTCGCTTACCTTGATATGTTGCTCTCAAACCGTCATCACATGCAGAATTCTTCGTCATGGGCATAGTGAGGTTTGCCGCATAGTGGTTAGTTTTTCTCTGAAACGGCTTTTTCGGTAACGGCGGTGATTTCTAACATATGCTTACACTTAGGAGAAGTTCCTGTGGTAGCGTGGGGCGAAGTCGTTAGTGCTTTTGAATAAAAAAATTAACCGTTGGTTTAAGTCTGCACTCCAGTCTAAACAGACCTTTCATCCGTCTGGAGTCAGATATTTGGTTTCAGACTTGTCCGGCAGGAAGATAAAACCTTTTTTTGTAGCTTCGGAGGAGTCATGAAATTCACTGTATAGGTCAGAAGTATTCTGTCACCTCTACAATGGATTCTAATCCAAGGAGCATCCGTTCGGGATTAATGAACTCCTAATTCTTATTTTTTAGATGGGAATTTCCAATGTCTCAGGTTAAATGAATTTATTACCGGCAGTAAAACTCTTTGTCCCATCTCGTACTTTAACAACTCACTATGCTTTTGTGCCACGTCGACGCTGTAAAGCACAAACGAAAATTGACATTGATGAAGGTTTAAAAAGTGATTTGAAATCTTGAGCTGTTATTGAGCTTCAAACCAGGCGCTACTGAGTGAAACGCCAGCGATGAGGACATTCTGGTGGTTAATTATGATTGTATGTATTATGTGCGGTACTGTTACAACAACTCTTGTAATACTCGAATATGTAGATGGACCAACTGCCACATCAACAACAATACGACTGGTGAGTGTTTTGAAAATGAATTATCAAGATCATTCAAATAATTTTGGAAACGGTTAGTTACTACTAGCATGTTGACGAAAATCGAAGTGTACAAAAACCTAGACTGTTGGTGGGCGAATAAACCATAGGCAAAAAGGATATTTGCTTGTATTCAGAAGCTTAGTGAAGGATTATTGTTTGCACCATCATAGATACTTCATTGATCTCATAATTACGTCCCACTTGTTGTTTGCTTCTTTGAATTCAAGCCGATTGTATGCTAAGAAACGGTGCTATTACGCAGGTGTGTTCTCGAACAGTTCAGTTGTTCCAGAGATCTCGTCTGTTTCATGAGATTAGATTGATTAACTGATTAGATAGATCAAATAAACAGCAAAATCACCAAAAAAGAAACGTTAAAACGTCTTAAAATGTGAATTGGTAGATTAGGTGGACAGCCTCGAACTGCCGGCTATTACTATTTGTCCGAAGATTCCGGACGCCTTCAACTCGACGGCACTGCTTGGAGATATCCGAATATCACTTCCAGAAATAGGCAGCTCTACTGCTATCGATTTGGTGAAGTGAGAATTATTCCCTTTTATTATTTAATGTTTCCGTCATGGTCTAATCGGAAACTGTACTACTCAATTATTGAGCCACGCTAAAATATAGACCACTCTGTTATAACACATTAGTGTCGCTGTCGTTGTTACAACCTACTTCGAAACATATCCTGAAATGGCTTGTAATTTAGCATACTGTATTTTCTGTTTCACAGTAACTGACTTGGAATTTCACTCATTTCATAGAATTAGTATAAGAATATGAATTTCCTCAACAAATCTTTGCTTTCTTGGCGAGCAAACAAGAGGCTGTTATTAGAGCATTAATTCACAATAGCTGACTTTTTGCCGGTTTCGTCTTATTCTGAGACTGGAAAGGTTAAATTGACCCATAGTTGACTCAGTAAAACACTTTCTTACTCTTAGGAGATAAAACGCAATGTATATACTGAGATTAAATGACAGTTGGTTTCAAAACTAATTCATGAATCGTATATAATGCTGAGATATTTGCAAAAGTTCTGACCGCAGGTGTAAGCGGTGGGGAACGAACCCGCGCTGTTGTCCTTACCGGGGAGCAGGGCAGTTCACCACCACACTATCCGAGTCCTTCGTTTTGCATGTCTCTCAGCTAGTTCTATCGATCTTTTTTCCATCAGCAATCACCCGTCAACGGGATTGATATGGGGAGCCCACGTCGGCATTGAACCCAGTTAAGCTGAGGCTTAGTTATAATCACAATCTTAACCCTTTTATTTACTGCCTTTTTCTCTTTAATGGCAGGGTATGTTGCGAAATATAACTCGTATATAATGCTGAGATGCTAGCTGAGAGACAGGCAAAACGAAGGACCCGGATGGTGTGGTGCTGAAGTGCACTACTCACCGGTAAGGACAACAGCGAGGGTTCATTCCCCACCGCATACACCTGCAGTCTGGAGTTTTGCAAATACCTCAGCATTATATACGAGTTATATTTCGCAACATACCCTGCCAATAAAAAGAAAAAGGCAGTAGATAGAGGGGTTAAGATTGTAATTCATAAATGTTTATTAGCATAGTGAACACAGTGAAAAGTGGAAGTGATCTACAAATGCTTCGAACTGCTAGACCAATAGCCAGAATGCATAAATTTCACTCAAAAGAAACCAGAGAAAGACTGGCTTCTGTTTTTGAAAGTTCAAATCAATCTGTTCAAAAACGGCTGCAAATGGTACAGAAAGCTATCTAATAAAAACATACGGAGTTCATTGCCTCTTCTCTCATCTTTCACCACTGAAGGGCACTCATGAAAAACATGTTTCGTAAAACGACCACTGTGTGTACACGAGGAGCGCAAAATGAGATATCCCTGGAATTAGAGCGAAACGTAGCCATTTCCGATGCCTACAAAACTGCAGCTATTCGCAGTGCCGTCGGTGGAAAGATAACGCCCTGAAACGACAACTGTAATAAAAATAGGGTCTCGCTCATCCTGCCCTCCATTAACAACGAAGAAAGCAAAACTATGCGAAGTTTCTTAAATAACTACTGCCTAGGGAAGCCGGTTGTATTGTATGAAATACCACTGAACACTCTAAGACACCAGCAAGTTCGCAACCGTTTGTATGGCCGTCTATGCCCAATCCAAAATTTGCGTAGTATGCCCTAACGGTAGAGATGGTGATGGTATGAGCTCAGGAACAGTGTGACTCTTGCAAAACATGTGTTGTCGAACACGTCGGCGAACCGCTAGATCACTTCTTGCCCAAGTGAAACTGAACATTGAACTAAATACTCCTAGGACACGAAGAGATTAACAGGGAAAAATAACGAAGTAACCTGCTAAAAGATATCAGCACGTAAAGGCCTTGAAGCGCTCTGGACAAAAGCCAAAAATTCAAAAACGAGCCGCAAGTGTGCCTTTTGATTGCACCGACTGTTTAAGCCGAGCATGGCCCATTCCTCGCTCATGCAGAACTTTGTGATTGCAGAGTTTATTAATCAGAATAAAAAGTCATTAGAATCTACACAGTCTTCTAGACAAGGTTCCAGTTATCTTGTACCGTCATGATAAAGAGCAGGGCTTCTGGCGCCGACGAGTTGTCCTTTCCTTCCGTCGTGGGTCATACACTATCACAAGCAATGAAGTTTGAGCAAGCAAGGTTTCGCCCGATGGGATACGATGATGATCTCTTAATAGTTAATGTTTGAAGTTGCAACGATCGCTTTAAGAATTTGATTCTTCTGATTAAACTTATATTTTATTGGATTCCAGTCTAAAAAGGTCAAAGTGTAAGTCATATTTTAGAAGACATATCATTAAAGGATCATGCATATATTTCTCAGCTCCTTAAATGCCTAATTGTTCTGGTCATTTAAAAATCTGTGCTGTCTTGAATGTGATGATAGACCTATGAATATTTGGAAAAAATAAAGAGAAACAAGTCTGGTAAATTTGAATGAACAGTGTGTAGAAGTTTTTGTGCCGAAAAGACTCTAGCTTTGGAAACAATCTAAGGTAGAACAATTTTATAACATTTAGGAGTCTTATTTCTTAAGTCTGTTTGTGCTTATTAATTCTGTTGCTCTCTATTGCGGAATAGAGCAAATATTTAAGTGGAAATTAAGGTTCTGGATTGGTGGTAACGGTCTTGAGAACATGGATGACCTGTCGTTCTTTAATCGTACCTATATGAGTTATCTTAGTCACCTTTATCGTAGATGGTCTAATGGTCATTCGACTGAGGAATTTTTCAATACTATCCAGGTCGCTTTTCTTTAAAAGCTTCTCTCACGTTTCGGTTTAGTGCAGAAAAACGAATTTTACAATGTGAATTTTATAGTACCCATACCTATAATTTCAGAAGAAATACGGGTATTCTTGTGATGAACTGTTTCAAGAATGTCAACTAGCTGGTAAAGTTATGAGCTGTTGTAACGATCTTTTTAAACGACAGGTTGTTATGCGAAGAGGAATTTGTTACCAAACAAGAAAAATGGTGAATCAAGTGAGCATGGTCTTCAATTTTTTATTCGTTACTTGTGTTTGATGTGGTCCAGTTAGTCATCGAGTAACTGAAGACATCAACAAATTTTATCTTTTACCGTCTCACAAAGGACACGAAGTGTACCAGCTTTTTGGTATAGCTCGTCTTTGAAAACTTTTGGTAAGCAATTAATCGTGCGAAGTTCACCGGACTCTGGATCCATTAGGTCTGCTACAAGCTGGACTTTTGGGTGGGAATGTCTAACACTTTCTTATTATGGAAGAGTCTATTAAGGTTGAGATTTCGCTAAACATCGCACTTTAACGTACAGAACCGCAATTCAGCTAAGTTGATGCGATAATCCGTTTGGGGGATTTCAATCATATCATCTGTGGTTAGATAGAAGCGTTTTTCACGTTTTAGTGCTTGGGAGACACCATAGACTGACACTTTAAAAAATCAATTGACAAGACTAATACTTCAGACAGAAGCTGATGATATTGGAAGACTCGTGCTTAGTATTAAGGCACTACCAAGCATTACGAGTCCGCAGCACAATTATATCCAGGTGAGTTCTATAACTCGAATTTGTTCACTCCTAATCACCAGCCTCACTTGAGATTCATATGTTGTATCTTCGATTAATTACTTTCGTATCTTGTATGTTCGTGTTTGCCTTTCCATGGTTGCTTTAACAATCAGTTACTTCTTAATTAAATGACTGATATAAACAAACTGCCTGTTAACCACAGCATAACTTTCCTCTTGCTAGTGTTTTATTGGATGGACAAGATTTCTCACAGAATCTTGAAGAAATCTTGGTGGACTTATAACAAATTATCATCGCAGACAATCTCCGGTCTTTCTTGGTCAGAGGGAATTATGCCATTTTGTTATTGGATTTCCTGCAAGGTGGAGGCAATTTCTAACATTAGTATATACTTATCTATGCCTTTGAACGGACGTGTTTCTTAGTTTTTGTACTCTTAGTGGAAGAAACAAGTTCCATGCTGAACAAAGAATGTCAACAAACTCAGAAATCCTCTTTTCTGCAATGAGCCGATACAATATTGTATTAAAAAAATGTTCAGACTATAATGGAAAAATTTTACAAAGGAATTGCACGTTTATGAATAGAGGGTAATCATAGAATTGATCCAATGTTATTTCTTTTTAGAACAATGAAATACAACTCGAATAAACACCTACTAGCATTTGGTATTCTTCGAAACTGAAAAATTCGGATAAACAAGTAAAGGAACAAACGAATGTCGAAGTGGAAAAAGCTGAAGATAACTCTTTCTTTATCTCTATCTCTCTCTCTCTTTCTATATATATATATATATATATATATATATATGTGTATATATATATATATATATACATATATATAGGCATGGACGCGTGTGGCGCAGTGGTTGGAGGCGCCACTTCTACACACACGTGGAATCGACTTCCGCGCCCATGGTCCTCAAACCCTCCATCCCTCCAGAGTCGGCAAATTGGTACCAGGTTTGTCAGGGGAGGTTAGCAGCATTGGCTCGATACATGGGTAGGCCACTTCGAGTTACTGTAAAAGCCATACATGCATTCAATCACCTCCAACGATACTTAATGAAGTCGAATGCATGACGCATACCTCAGGGTTTGATCAACGCTCAGAGCGTTATCCTTTATCCTTTACATATAGACGTGGATTCACATATATATATGTATACATATGTATGTATACATATATATGTATACAAATACATATGTATACATATGGATATATGTATACATATGTATATATATATGCAAGTAGATTCACGTATACATTCATGCATGTATACATATATAAACATATGCCGAAACCTCCTAACGGTTTACAGCCTCATCGTAGCTATGAGGTGTTCCTGGGTGTCGGAGTGCGATACACAGCGGGAACTCATCACCTGGCAGGGTCTCCCAAGCCGAGAAGGAGTCCGGTTTTCCATCAGGAAACCTAACTAAGAGCAAACCAATACATCCACTACAGTCCTGGTATAAAAGTCGCATGGTGGCAAATCTCCTTCTTATCCACAAAGGCGGCGACTGCCTGTGCTGGTGAAGACCTGAGGCAAACCTTGGCCTAGCTGACCTCGGAACTCCAGAGAACCGCAATGGCTAAATCACCAAAACTCCGAAAAAATGGGAATATGCCCGCCCAACTAGTCATTATAGACCATTCAAGTATCCAAGTAAGTCAGTATATTCCGAAAAATTTGCTCTGGACGATAAATGAATCCCGGAATGAGGCAGCGTTGTGGTGAGCAGAATGGGCACTGCAGTCTGAATAGATCCAACCGTGGTGTATTACTTGACCTAGAGCCTTTTTACTAGTAACAATAACAATAATAGTAACGAAGCAGAACACTGCTGTTGTCTTGCCTAGTACGATTACTCAGTGTGCGAACCAATATGAAAAATGGACGTGGAGACAAAGCTAGGTGAGTACCCACTTGCAACGAGGCGAACTTCTTTGGCACTATAATTCTTCACCAATGCTTATGCATTTATGTTTAAACGAAAACGATGCTAGCAATTGTTGAATGAGAGGGTCTTTCAAGATCAAGTTTCTATTAACTTTGGCAGTGATCAAATTACTCTCTTTATTCTTGTTCAGCAAGCCGGAGAACCCGAGGTTTTAGCTTAATTCGATTACGGTAATGATTACGTTTCGGCCGATTTCGCCTTTTTAGAGCCTGGAAATGTCAAGTTGTCAGTTTGAAAGTTGTTTCTGTTCTTCAACCGGGACAACGTTAATGCACTTATTGAGGTAGAAATTCGAAAGACAGTAAAGCAAAAATCGAGCAATTAAGGAATTGAGCACTTGAATCCAAAATTGAGCACCAATGATAGCTGTGGTGGAATCCACGAAAGACAAAGTTTCATTTTTTTTTTACTAATAAATCCGTTCTTAAGCTACTTTATTGTTTCGTTCGATCATTTCTCTATAATGTTGGTTTTACTCCGATGCGTACGATTACTGCTCGTAATATTGTTGTACCGTTTTGTATTTTCGACTTTCTAAGTTGGTTTTAATTTGAGTCACGACTATATTTTAAATGTACGAACTTTAGCCCCAAATTGTTGTCTACATCACCGACAATTTCGAGCACGTTGTGGACTTTCCTCGTTTCTACCTATATCCCCACGAATGGAATCGCATGCGATTCACGGCTCGATACATTGAACTGATAGAGAGTGAGGATGTATGTACACAAAAGGTACGAGTTGAAAATTAAGAGTGAACCGAATAGTTCATTCCATGTTTCCTTATTGCTTTTATCCTTTGCGAGCGAGCTTTTGTATACACTCGATCTCTTCCCCATTTAAGGCAATAACTTCCGATTCATTGCTAAACGGTGTGATGGTCTGCTCGTGGTGGCGTAAGAGAATTAGATGCGTAGCAGAAATGCCCTTAATATTTCACATGGGACACAAATGAATTTTCGGGAATGGACTTGCTTTTAAAGCACAGCTGGGTACTGTTATATACACGTAATCATATTTATGTGTATTCAGTTTGTAGAGATTTCATCCACTACAACAAAACATTGAGATAGAATTTCCACAGAGATACTGGAGCTGTGTCACATAACGTAAGGGAAGGAAGACTTTATCAAAGATCAAACGATCGCGTCATTCAATAAGAGAAGTAGTACAGAGGCCGACGATTACAGCGCCACTAGATTCCGAGATTTGCTTTTATTACATGTGTAACTCCTTCTGACGAGTAGGCAACAACTTTTCGAACATCGTGCTCTGCGGTGCGAAAGATGTATTGTCAAGTTAGGTTGGTTTGCGCTTTAGTCCTGTGTGGGGCATATTTTATTATTTTATTCATCTATTTGGACGACCACTGTTCATATCTGTTGTGAAGGGTCTGTCACTTCTTGCATCCTTCTGCGCTCAACTGCTGCCTTCTCTATGAATAGGAGCATTAGCGCTACAAACCATAATTCCTAGGCGGTATAGCTGATGCGTATAGCTTAATCGATCTTATCACAGTAGGACGGATCGTACATTAGAGTCTTTTTGTTTCCACCGTATTTTTGAGAAAGCCTTGGCTTCCCAGTCACTTGATTATTGGATTTTGGTTGACATGAGGTGATGTATAGAGTTGGCAAATATGCATGCACGCCCGACGCCTGCGTGTTTGAATATGTATACCGTATCCTGTGTTCGAAAAACGCAAGAAAATTCTGCTCTGTGAAAATACCTGCGCAGTTCCCCTAAATCCGCTTATACCTTCTATTGAGCACACAGTTAGCATTCCTCGTTGGGCTGTCCTAAACATGGTGAAATTAATTGAAATCCCTGACCCATAAATCGTTTTAAGCCGTAAATACACTTTCTAGACGTGGAGTGCGAACGCTTCTAGTCGTTTTAGGTGGTCAGTGTGGTGCACTGTATTGTTCTTTTTTTTTAATTTCTAATGAACTCTGTTCATTAGTTGGTGGAATATGCTTCGGTTTCTTTCTATGTTTTCATGGCTCGCGAAGGAGAGATACTTTTCGAAAGTCTGACCTATATAGTAAGAGTTGTGGGTATAGAGCTTATAGGAACGGTCCTGCTGAATTTGTTACGGTTTTTTGTAGCAAACACAGAATAACCGCTTTACAAAACTTGTCTATTCGATTGAATAGATTTTATGTGCTGAGTCTTCAACACGGCATTTCCCGAGATGGCTGGCTAGTAAGGTTGTCATCAGCTAGTTGGCATAATCAGCTTTTCTTCTTATTGATAATCACGTGGAAATGCTTGTGGAGCACAGAGTTTCGAAACATGTGAGCACTGCCGTTAAACGAAACTGTTGTGATACTCTACAAATCGACCTTTTCTTAACCTCGGCATGGCTTGTCTTGCTAGTACGGAGGCCGGTGTGATGAAAGGCTGTGGATAGTCGACTCTGACCGGGGGAGCGAATGAGAGTGAATGGAGAAGGCGAATGAGCTGAAACGTTAACCGAATAAAACTTTTATAACATCATCGTGCTAACATAATCATCTAAGAAAATTTTGTGATGTATTAGATATCCACAAGGAAACAGTTAATCTGGTTTCAACTGTTCCGATCAGCCGTGGTTTTAAGCGAGAGCACAGTTTGTGATAATAAATAGCGCTATCGTATTACTTTCTAGGCGATTTGTACCTAGCTTTATCGATAAGCTAACATTCGTTTGCTATCTCTTTTGTGGGTGTATCGGTGCTACAGAGATGTTCAAGTCGAGTGTCAAAAACAGTTAGTTTTCGCAGCTCAGGTATCCGTACTCACATTGAGTGAGAAGAACACCGCACTCCGTTTTTATGAAGTGGTTTCAGGTGGTTAATACACTCAAGAAGGAAGGCCAACTTACATCACCTTTTCACTTCGATGTGCTTTACAGTGAAGTCGTTCATATGATGCTTAGAGATAGCATGGAATCAATTAAATTTTCATGAAAAAGCAAACGGTGTTCAATAGTGCTAGCGAAACTCAAGGAACTAATTTTTGCAATTTAGTTCTTCGGAAAAGATGCCCAATGCGTTATACGCAAATGGCTGCTGTCAAATACTGTCTACCCGTTCAATTGCACGCTGTCTTACTTAACACATCTTGATAATCTTCCACCGACAACTGGTGTCTGTGCACCGGAAGTGATCGCAGTGAATTACTACAACAACATCCAGCTAGTCTGGAATAGTGTGGCTGTGAATGAAGAGGTTTGCTGCTAAGTGTTCTAATTTGTTAAGTTTCTTCTTATGGTAAAACGAGTTTTTATTGTTCTACATTACAGCACTAGATTACCAGTTTAGTACAATGGCTTAAATCTAAAATACATTGTATGTATGTATGTATGTATGTATGTATGTATGTATGTATATATGCATGTATGTATATATGTCTGTATGCATGTATGTATATATGTATGTATGTATGTATTCCATACATTGTGAGTCTTTGTGCATGTGTGTTTGTATGCACATATGTTCGTTTACGCATACGTCTGTATCTAAGTCGACGAATACCTTTGTGAGTGTGTGGGGGAGTGTGTGTGTGTGTAGGGGGTGGAGTGGGGGAGGTGTGGATTTGTGTTATAATCGGTATTTCTAAGTAACTCTAGTGTTAAGTAAAGGCTAGTTCTTTCAGTGCACTCCCGGTTGTCATCGCTGGGATTACCAATCGGCACTACAGCAAACTCAAGCACTCTCACCATTCTCGGAGTACACGTTTAATCTTGAGGCATCATTTAATGATTTACAGGTCCGCATACAAATGCTCACATGTATTGCGTAGCATTATTCAACAAATGCCCATTTTTCTGGATTGTCGATCTAGCATTTTTGGTTTGATCTGATAGCATAGCATTCGTTTCAGTACGAGTATGTTAGGGAAGTTTACACCACGTCTGTTCCTGGATTCATGTCGCAGATTGGAGGTATACAGCGTTTTTCGACGAACGTGATTTCGATTGCTTTGCTTGTCCTACTTTTTTTCGTTATTTATGGCTGCTGTTTAGTGATTTTGTGTCATGTGCATCCTTCCTTTTATGAAGTTCATTAGCGGATAACAAAAAAGATGCGCTGGGTGTAATGCATATATGTGGGGAAATGTGATTTGGCAAATTGCGAATGGGGCTTCTTTTCAGTTGTCTTTTCTTGCTGCACATGTATACTTTCATTCACTTTCCGTATCCCGGCAGCTTATTCAGCATAGGTGGTAGACCAGATATTCAACGTGAAACAGCCAGCAATTTACAAAAAACCGTTTTTTGGACAGGTTCACAACGCGAAGAAGCACTGGCGCTGTATAAGGAAGCACCTATTACGGTGATTGTTGCAGCCGAGGAGAGTGGCAAAATCTTTCCTCTGGGGTAGTTGAATATTACATTCGACATTCAGCAACATTTTTCGCTTTATTTCAAGAAGCCAGCGTCATTACGTACTGATAACGTTGTATTCGTGTGCTGAAAGAGCTGCACGAAGTCTGTAAGGGACATGAAATTAAACATTGCCCACGTCTCACAGGCTCAAAAATTTCGCGTTACTCGTTTTCGTGAAAGTACAGTGGGCGTTCTATTTTTAGGACTTGGGCATCCACAAAATATTCTTCGCGAAAACAGCATTTCAAAGTGATTTAGTTTAGAAAGAGGTTTCGATTGTAAAATCATTAAGGTCAATTCGGATTTTTCCTGGGGCTATCGATCATAACGTTACTGCAAATGATCCTATATGGAATTCATTTCGTGTTGACTATAGCAGCCGAGAAAATCAAACAAGCATGTTCGTTCTTGACGACGTTTGTAAAACCTGCTAACAACGAGAGCAGAGGTCAGTTCATGGTGAATTCCGTGATTTAAAAGTGAGCGTGTTGAAGTAATGAAAGTTTCAGTAATTTAGAAAATTAGGTGCTAATTTTTGACAAAGTCCACATTTTTGGGTTCGATGTCGTCTACAAATAGTGAGTTTAAATGTAAACCACGCACTGTAAAACAGAAAATCAGCACTGCGTTTCCATTACCAAAAGGTGAATTTTTTTCACGCAGAAATTTTTTGAAAAATGCCCATAAAGCTCTTTGATGGTTAGTAGTTTTAAAAGAAATCTTCTATACGAACTTTATAGATAGTACTATTTGTAGAACTCTCAATTTAATGGACAAATTTTCAGAAGAAACGCAGACAGTGACGAATTCGCGTAGTGCTATTGCTGTCATATCAGGAAATTCATTGGACGGGTCCAATTCAGTGGTCCATTCTGAACTTTAGAAAGCAAGACAGAAGACTTAAAACTTGGAGGCTATACAATCCCAAACAATCCGACGAGGCAACGGAAATCTAGTTGGGAATCAACATAGCTACTGCGATGTGACAAAGCCATTTTGAACTTGGGCCACTCACTGTAGTCCGAACTGACGAACTCTTCAGAAAATTGATATAGTCCGAAACAACAGCACTTTTCTGACAATCATAGTAGGCCTAAGTTCTCAGCGGATTTAATTGGTTGGTTTGTTTTTTTGGGTAAACTGTGTGAAAACAGATTCTTATCTTTGTCATTGAGAACGTTCTTGGTAATAATTAATTGAAAGTTTCTTCTTGCCATGTGTTTTATTCACCTGACTTTGCTATTTTGCTATAAAAGAAAATTTGACAGAAAGGATTGTTACGAGTTAACGTCTTGGACTAGAGATGAGACAAATGATTCTAGATTGAGTCCACAATTAGTCAACGGAGTGGTATGAAAAGCACAAATTGGTCTATTACCGAGTGGTTCTTTCTAGATTGTTCCTGTTGATGAGTAATTGCTGGTAGCACCGTCAGGGTAAAAAGACTAGCTGAGCGGAAGCCAGAACGAAGGGCCAATGATGCAGTTCGCAGCACGTGGTACCCAGGAAAGGGCAGTCGCAGTTCAATCTGGCGTGGGGTTGCTTAACATAAAACAAACCGTGAAAATAAGAGGCAATAGATAAAAGTTACAAAGATTTCCTCAAATAGTACTTTTTCTGACTGTCCACACTAAACAACTCAGTCTTAATTATAGCCGTTAATATACGTCAGAAATGGTTAACAGCGCTGCTTTACACAAAATATTCCCTAAGCATCCCTCCAATTCAACTGTCGAAATGGCTTGCACGGACCGTAACAATATCTCAAAATCCGCCTTTCCTTTCCCAGGTATGAGTGAGTAGTCAACATGTAGTTTTTCATCCATAAGGTAACAAAAGATTGATTAAGCTTTATTTCGCTGACGTTTCAGAGCGTTCGCGATCTTCAGAGTCGAATTGATTTGAATAGATTGTCCATAGCTGGGTATCTCCTCAATGTAAGGTTTCCGTTTACGCATCGAGTCGAGCCCGTTGGAGTGACCACTCGAATGAAACACTGCTGTGCTATGTGCTAAGTGATAATGACACCGACTGTTGCGTGATAGACTGCCCGAAGAAAAACAAACGATTACCAACAGGCAATCAGTATCAACAACCACCCTGTATAAAAGCACACTGCTAAGTGAGATTACTTCATTCGGGTCCTCCTCTGGACGCATATGACGCGATCACGAATCAAACTCTGAAAAGCCAAAGGGGCCGGAACATTAGCCGAATGAAGTTTCTGTACCTATGCCCTATTAGCCTGAACGACGTAAAAGGCATTCGGCGTTCATCGATCCCTAAGGCATTCATTCGACATCGTTAAGTATCGATAGAGGTGGTTGAAAGTATAGCCATAAAATGACTATCGGAGGCTTGCCCTATGTGTCAAGTCAGTACTACTGTCCTCCTAGATAAGTCTATTACCAATTCTTCGGTCTTGGAAGGATGGACTACTTGGTGAACACTCGTGCAGACCGAACTAGGGACCAACCGAGTATGAAACACAGTGCACATCTAACAACCACGTTAAACGTTATCCCTCTTAGCTTATCAATAAGAAAGTACATGTATGATTAGCTGCGGCCGATCGACGTTGCAATTGAGCATCAGATGATAGGCGGCGGTGCAACGGTAAAAGCCTTGTTAATTGCAATTTATGGCTCAGGATGCAAAGAGATTTACATATATATATATATACATATACATATGTATATACCAATTTATGGTTTAGGATGTAAAGAAGTTTACATATATATATGTATGCATAAATGCCAACCACGGAGTTTCCTCATATGAGGGATCACGAGTCGGCTAAACGCGAGGCTACATGACGCGTCCCCAGTTGACGGATTGGGGGTTAATCGCAGACCAAAAGCGACCGTATGTTCCCTTGAGACGTAGGTGGATCCACGGGATGGACTCACTGTTTCTGGTGCCCCGATTTGCTCCATATTTTCTGTATCTAGGTGGCATAATCGTGCTTGCGTTTGTGGGTGCGTTCTCGCTTTTGCGGATTGAATTCAGTGAGTCAATTCGGCCAAAAGCCTCCAATCAAGTGTTAGAGAAGTGTATGGAAGGCGGTTAGAAGTCGCTGCATCAAACTAGCTCCATGTCCACTCTGGAAAAGACTGGCAAGCTGCCCGTGAGTACACCCAGCCCCCACCTTCAAAGCCCAGCAAGCTACATGTGGGTAACAAAATGCTAGACAAAGTAAAGGGAACGGGCCGCCTCATTCCACTGACACCGAAAGAACCCTCAATTCGGAGGCGTTGGGTAGGGCAAGTACGGAGAGGCTACTAGAATCTTAGAGCCAATGGAAGCTGTCTGGATTGCGAAGAACTAAGGTGACGATCTGTACCTACAATGCACGTACACTTGCATACCAGTCCTCGATTGAAGACTTGATAATGCAAGCGAGAAAAATTAGGTACGAGGTCATCGGCCTAAATGAGATGAGGCAACGCCACCCATTCAATGCTGTCTGTAACACCGGAGAAGAATTACTCCTCGAAACATGCGAGAGGGAAGTCGAAGCGTTCTATGTGGATTTGGAGAAATTCTACGGAAAAGACCAAGCATTCTTCAGGATCACATTATTGGGGAATTCAACTCTAAAATTGGACGAAGAAGATCGTTTAAAAAACGTTACATTGGGACCCACGGATTAGAAAGGATCGAACAGAGTGAGCGGTTATGTAAGCTTTTCATGGCGACGAAGACAGTCGATGGTAACTCGCAATTCCAGAAGCCCCACCCTCAACGCTGGACGTGGGAGTCTCCCAATGGAGAGCGCCGTAACGAAATAAAGCACATCAAAGTAAATCGAAAGTTTTGCCTAAGCGGTGTCGCTGTTGCTCCAAAATTCCACGTGGGATCAGACCACCGTCTCCTTCGTGCAAGACTCTATTTCTCGCGGAATGGAGAAATAGCCGCCAATTTCAAAAATGAGATCCCAGAACCACCATAAAGTGGGATTTATTCAATTCATTGGTCGGTTTTTGAGAAGATGCCGTTGTTTATAACATCGACGAAGAATGTGATCGCCTCATTTAACATCTTCACGTTAGCGCTATGAAAGCTGAGAGTTCGAAAGTCATCAAGAGACGTCTGTCTCCAGAAACACTCGAGATGACACACCAGCTTGGAATCGCACGTGCTGCAGGCAACCGTGAACTAACGTCCGAACTTGTAAAACGGTGCAGACAGGAGATAAAAAACTTCATTAAGAGAGAAGAGCAGCAGTAATGGTTGAAGCTGCAGAGGCAGGGAAAAGAATTCGCAAAGCCCACCGTAGCTTCGCCAATTACAAGACCAGGATGATTGCACTCCGACGCCCAGACGAAACAGTTACACCGTCCAGAAAGACACAAGAGAAAATCATTCACAAATACTACTCAGATCTCTTTAATAGCCACGTCAACTTTCCATAATTTGAAAAAAGTAGGATTGAAATCTTGTACCGGTTCTCCCTTCCGAAATCCGACACGGCACTTCGTCGGTGAAAAATCGAGCAGCACCAGGTCCGGGCAGGATAAGACCCGAACACCTGAAGAACCTTTCGCGAAACACACTGGCTTAGCTCTTCACACGCTACAGGTCTGAATGCAAGGTCCCTTTTCAATGGAAGACCAGCAGGACCGTGTTATTGCTTAAGAAGGGTGACCTACAGGATATCGACAACTATAGCCCAATCTGTTCACTGTCTGTCGTCTACAAACACTTCACTCGAGCCATGCTAAACAGGAGTGACAGAACGCTAGACGAAGGACAGCCATGTGAGCAAGCAGGGTTTCAAAAAGGATTTAGTACGATGGACCACATCCACACGGTAACAAGGCACACTGAAGTATCGCGAGGGTATAAAAAGCCGTTCGGTCTCACTTTCATCGATTTACAGAAGCCCTTTGATTCAGTTGAGACAGAAGCAGTCTTGGAAGCCCTTGATTGTCAAGGAGTCCGTACTCAGTGCATAAAGATTCTTCGTGAGCTGTACTAAAAATTCACAACGAAGGTGTCACCATTCTACAACGATATTAACATTGACGTCAAGATAGGAGTTAGGCAAGGCGATTCCACCTCGCAAAAATTATTTACCGCCACCCTCCAGAACGTCATGCGAACATTGGAATGGGATAATATGGGAATGAAAATCGATAGTCAGCAGTTACACGATCTTCGCTTTGCTGATGACATCTTCCTTATAACACCAAAGATTAGCTAAGCGGGATGTATGCTTGCCGACTTTGATAAAGCCTGTGGAAAGATTGGTCTTCATCTAGATATCGCAAAAAAGGTGTTCATGAAGAACGGTTTGTTTCGTTTGCCCCATTCACACTCCACGGAACGAATGTCTCCGAATAGTCCAGTTATACCTACCAAGGTCGGGAAATCAATGTGATAAACGACCTAGCTCCAGAGCTAAGCAGAAGGAAACGAATTCCAGAATTGGAGAGCTTTTAAGGGTGTCGAGGTTGTAGTGAACAAGACAAGGAACACCCGACTCCGTGGCCACATTTTCGACTCAACTGTACTTCCTGCGTTAATGTATACGTCAGAAACCAGGTCGCTGCGTAAATAGGATAAAAAATCACTCGGCGTTATTGAACGCGCAGTCGAAAGGGCGATGCTAGGAGTGTCCCGTGTCACGCATGTAATGGAAGCCACCCGAAGCTTAAAATGTGTCAGCGATCAAAAGTCAAAGATGCCATTCTATACGCCAAACAGTCGAAAATAAGGTGTGCCGGACACGAAATGGATGTGAATGACAATCGATGGACAAGAGCCGTTAGTGAATGGATTCCTAGGGTTGCAAAGCGCATTGCAGGGAGACCACCGACTCCATCGACAGGGTTCTTCAAGAAAAGCCTAGAAGAAAGATATGGTACTAAACGGGTTCGTCTTGTAAGCGGAACCCACTGTTTTACTCTTGCATGTGGCAATGAAAAATAGAAGATTTACCGGTACCCGCTAG